GAGATCGATTTATAGGAAGCTACTACGGAAAGGACGATACTTGAATTTCCATAGCTGGATACCTCTCAGTAGAAAAAGGAATGCGATGCATTCTTTGACATCAAGAATCAGAAGAATCTACACAAGTGATACTGTCGACGATGAACCGGAAAAACTACAAAAAATCCCCATGCAAATGAATACCCATCCAGATTTACTGAAAAAAACTTGAAATTAAATCAGAATATGGAGCGAGGACTGACACCTCCAAAGAAGGCTTTGTTTATGAACGTTAGGGTGACTTCAAGTACTCACATGTATATATATTCTCCACTGAAAAGTAAACGACATGAATCCATACAGAACTGATGAACATATCTGAATACCTTTTCTATAATTCTTGTAAAGGCAATTTAAACAGAGAATGTAATGTTATTTATCGACACTTAATTTCTTGTAGTTTAGTTTGATTGAGAAAAGTCAAAGTCCGCAGAAGGACCCCTTATGTATTAGGTGACACTGGAGTTTGAAGCGACATATACTTGGTGTTAGTGGGAGGATCATCACTCACTGGGGATGCAATACATCCACCTGACAAGTTCCAAGTAGGACGAAATATTCTATTTGTGCCGCACTGCTAGCTATCCTCAAACCTACTAACATCAAAAGGAATATTTAACTTGATTACATAAACTTATATTCCCTAACGTCGACTGATATATCTCTTTATCGAGTTTGGAATTATTACACAAAATATTCAAATTGGTAAACTTGTGGTGGATAAGTGTTGTACCAAGATGACTGCGTATATATTGTAGAAGCTATTTCATTCAGTGTAATCATAATAGTCTGGAAATAAATTAGTCTTAAATCGGTGTTAGTTACCATTTGAAAAAGGGATTTTGTTCCGATATTTTATAATAACACTTAAAATCATAGTTTTTCTAATACTTCAAAAATATACACTTTCGAAAAGATGAAAGTACTAAATAGATGATATTTTGATAAAAAATAATCTGCCTCTTCTTGAATATTTTATAGGAAAGTGACTATCTTTATCTTCTGCAATCATATAGTGTACAACTGTCATCGCCTTATTCTTAGGTAACTTTTATTTGCATAACAAAAACTCATTTTTCGTATTAGCTGTTAAGTGACTTGATTCACTGATGTAAGAGTAAAACTTGATTACCGTAGTAGAACACAACTCCATTGTGCAATCAGCAGATGGCAATTTAGATACTAATACTTGTAGGAAACTAACACACTTGAACAGATTATGTAGTACACCTTCTTGGCACCAAAATAATGCTGTTCTTAAAACTAATACATAAACGCTTAACGTATATAAATAATAGCTGAATAATCTTTTACGACGGCATCAAGTGACCTTAGTTCTCTAAGTTTGTTCTAGTCTATAGGCATACACACTTTGAAATTCACTATTTCTGCATCTTTTGTTCTGATAGGCAGCCACCAGTTCAGAGTTAACATTCTCCCCCTAATTTAACCTCTTATTCTCTGACTGATAGATAAGGTTTTTGTCCGAGTACTTCTTACCGTATAATGTCCCCCAAATTGTCTTTTGTTATGAGTATTTACACGCAGGTAAGGTACTAATGAGTTGGGTACTGGGGTACATTAACTTATTTAAGGCTGGTCGTGTTAGGGAATAGTAACACAGGCACTTGAAATTCACCCTGTCTCACATTATATTTGTCGGGTAGGGTTGGTGAGATGCTTATGTAATCAAGCTAGGAATCTGACTAGTAGGTCAGAAAAACTAAGGAACTCAAACATATTGAAGAAATATTTTTAGTTAATAACTACTCTCTGGAGTTTATTATAGTGTTCATAAAAACTCATGAGAGAACAGTAATCTTAGTGGTACGTTATTTACAGCCTTCGCAACTTCAACCGTATGTCAATATCATATTGAAGATGCGACTAGAACAGAGGACCTCAAAGTACTGGAGAGCCAACTGGGCGTTTCCTGGACACTGTTCCCATAACCCCCCTTGTGAGTCGACACATTTTCTTTGGGAATTGCCTCATCAACCACAGAAAACTTCAGTTTCTCTAAGACTAGAAAACCCCTTAAGTGCTACCCACAGTCGATACCTCCACCAGTTCCTTGATCTTCGCTTTTCAGTTACTGCATAGACTTTTCGTCATTTGCTTTTGGCCTCCGGAGCCCCCAGGAATGCGTTAATGAATCCATTAACTTGTGTGTGAACCTTTTGATGGAAAGACTCTTTGGCGGGCCAGAATATTTCGATATATTGCCCCACTACTACATTCCCTTTAGGTCTACCTGCAACCAACAACTTTCAATAGTGAGTTAACTTGCAGCCAGCATGTGAAAAACACGCACTTGAAACTCTCCGGTTACTACAGATACCCAGACTAAATATTTCAGTTCACACTTGGATTATACACCGAACACATATGGAGTAAGGTTCAAGTTAACAGAGACCGTACAAAATAACCTGCATTTAACCCTAATTTTCACGAATGATATATAACTAGTAAGGTGTGTTTAACAACGTCCTCCGCCCGCACACCTCAGTTATGGATATTTTAACTGGTACTCTTTTCAAAAAAGAAATGAAGACATGTGCAATCCAAGTACAAGCGACTACCTACGTGCAAAGTTGAACGAAATATGATTGAGCTAGGAGACGACTAAAGGGAGCCAAACCAAGACGTAGCACAACCCAATGAAGTCTCTGACTGGGTTCCTCAAGACAACAATAACCAGCGGTTACAGATTCTCAGTAACATGGTTGGAAAACAGTTATATTGGTGTGAACTTGTTAGCATCTTCGGAAATCTAGGCATTTCAACTGATCACTACTTATTTCACCGCCCTCATCTCATACACTTTTGCCGAGTTTAATGTCTCTCTTTTCCGAACCACTTTTTCCGTGCATGCCTTTGTTACGTACTGTAATTTGAAACAATGCTCTTGTACTAGGTTTTACGTCCATTTGTTTATCTCTGCTTTCCTTACCAAGCTAACATCAAATAAAAATACCTGAATTTCTACATCAAGTATATTCCCCACTTTTACGATGTCACTGCTGATCAGTACTCTTTTTGGTTGCTAGCGACACATAAAACCAATTTTGATGTCCGTGTATTGATAAGTATTAGAATTCATTACGGCTACAGACTCAGTATTATCCCGTTCGCAAGTCGATACGGAAAAACAATGTTCACGTAGAAAACTAAACTCCAATTAAACAACCACCTCCATATTCTAAAAACACCAATACTATACGCCCTAGGCCGAGTACGTTACATTGTTGCCACTAATAAAAGTCAATGCACTCTGTACGGTTATTCAGTTTGCACTAGCCGTGAAAGCACTTCATCAGTGGAATGGTCTCTCCGAGTATTTGAAAAGCAGCAATCTTCAGCTATATGACCACTACACTTTAGTTCCTACGGCATCTAGAACTTCATAGAAAAATTCAGACATTTAGAGCGAAAGTGACTATCGCTTACAAAAAAAATAGTTCCTCAGTTGTAGGTTTATAAAAAGTACCACCAGGGATGTGGGAAGAATCGTTAAGAAAATGTTAGTTTTAAAATGACCGGACATATATGTTAATACCCTTAGAATTTCCACTGAATGACATATTCTGTCGAGTTATCCTGTCATATCAAAAGCTAAAGTGAAAAAATGTGTTAGTCCAGAAGACAAATGGACAAGTTTAAGAACAAGAAGTGAAGCGACCGACCAGTAGAATCGACACCAACCATCACATACAACACCAAAATGACAGGATGAAAGTGATCATATTGTGGCATTATTTTTCCACTTGTATTTCCCAGTGAATGTAAAATAAAAATAAGTTCACTTTGTTCCACATCCACAAATGCCAAAGTAATATCCTTTACCATGTCCAAATTTTCCCTAAACATCAAATCCCAACTTGGTTTCTATGGAGCAGTTATTAGTTCCACTCGAAAATATGACTTGGAGTGGAAGATAAGCAAAGGAAACATTAGTATTGGTGCGGAATAACCATGTAAATTGGACTGATTTTAGTTGGAGAGATCAAAGCAATAGGAGAAAACCCACGACAAGAGATTAACTCACCGGCTGTGGCTAGGAAGTGTTTAGGATACCAAGTCAACGCTGGCTCCAGCATGAACAAGTGGGATAAAGATCGCTGAATCAGGGCACAAAACAAACTTGGACTTCCGTAAATAGGTTGCTAGCCTCAATATCTACCTCCCTGATACATTTCATTACTTGGAAGGTTCACTCCCACTTGTGGTTTATTGCAATATATTACTGTTCTTTTATTTGCCATTTCTAGCTCTATGAACATCCAAACAGAGACTACCTCATCTATGGATTCAGGCACATTGAAGCACTATCAATTACTAAGCAGCTATAACAGGGAAACACACAACTGACTGAACAACCTACATGACGCATGCACTTACCGGCTCTTATCTAGACGAAACTTATGAAGTACAGTAGCGAACCTTTCCAAAGCCCTTACATATATCGTGTGGACAGAATTTGGAGTGACTGGTATGACACTATAAACGTTAAATGCCTATAACATAAAACTGCTACTACGTACATATTGACTGCTCCTACTTTTCAGACAAGTGTTGCGAAAAACACAAGCTAAACACTCGAATCGTGCCCAGATTTTGTTAGAAGCTAACCAAATTATGTCTTTGCAGTAACGGAAGCCCGTCCTAAAGCCTATTCAACGAATCCAAAACGCATGTCAGATAGACTCAAACGTTGAGTAAATTCAGTTTAGAAGTGAGAAGAGTCACCCCTATTTGCAGGACTAGTAATAGAGGCCAGGAAGAAAACAAGTTTGGGCGATAAAAATTTATAGCATGGCAGTATTTGAAAAGAATGGGCAATGTTCAGTAAAATTCAATCCTTTCCTAAATACAAAAAAGCATAAAGAGCAAATAAGAACAGTTATTAAGTATGTTCAGATCCGAAAAGGCGCGAGTACGGCACGATGAGGGAAATCAGTCTATCTGGTCGCTTTCTCTGCTGCTATATCTACAAAGAAGAAAAAGGAAGATTTTGATCTCGAGGTCAAAGAAATTCATACTGTACCGGCAGAGACAATTAAGAGGAACATCAACATACCTTCTTTGGTAGGAAGGGGATTTTTTTCTTTTGTTTCAGTAGGTTTAAGAGAAGGACCAGTTTCGATTTCTTGCATCAACTGCTTCTCAGTTTTTCCTTTTGGATAACTGTAAAACACGAAGTAAATGTTAAGCATATGGTTGGCAAACTTCAGTGCTCACGTGTAAGTGCATACTCAGAACTATTTTACCACACCGAAAGATATTATTTGCAAATTCTAGACTGTCGCACAAAGAAGTCTTATGTAACTGTTAGCGCTAGTAAGATCAGTACCGTATACATATCCCATACTGTATTTGATTGACCATATAGTTAAATGAAGTCATCACTGGTCTAGTTATTTACTCAGGCCACCGATAATGCATTATATATATATATATATATATATATATATATATATATATATATATACATTTGACTACATGGTCAATCAAATACAGTATGGAATATTTGTGGCTTTATTATTGACATGATTACAGAATTGTTGAAAACTGGTAGGAACCATATGGCAAGCAATGGGAAGTCCGACGAAACAACCACTGAATTCATTTGCACTAATTCGACTGATTTCCAACTATGTGATCAACAGTCTTCAACTCTCCATACGGCTCAGATTAACAGTCAGGGATTTCACGGACTTACATAACGCATATCAAAGCCAGTGCAGATGGTGATGGCTTGCAACCTCTTCAACTGACTTGTATTCTGTGGCTCGTATCTTTTCGCTGATCTCGACATAGCTCACTCAGAGATTCCACTGCATGTAAGTAACGCTGCAAAAACATGTGACGAAAAACCTGTTATCTCCTTTTATCTTACAGCTACCAAGTCTCACAGTTTATAAACAGGACAGGGTGAACTGCTGGTTATTTAAACTAAGCCAACTCACAGCTGGTGACAAAGCTCACCGGTGTATAATTCCTCCAAACCCAAAAAGGTAAATTTCTGGAAACATAATGTCGGTCAACTCGTTACGGTAACCAGGATCTCTCACATATCCCGCACTTGGTTTAGCACTTTTGCTTTAATCCTCGTTTGGTAGCTAGTCGGTAAAATGCTGGAACTTTTATTTGCGTATAACTTACATCGTAAAAACAGTTGGTAACACCAAACGATGCGAAATGTCACTTATTTCACGGACTGTACACTCAGAGTTGCACATTCATGTATCTTACAGTTTTACACAAATATGATTGAAGTGGTAGATGCATAGAAATGGGAACATAGTGAATTTCCCTCGATAAAGAGGTTTCTTTCATAACATCTAGCTTCTTCACTCAAAAGCGACCTCTCACTTCTCTTTGGCGATGATACAGGAAAGAGACAGGTTTTAATCTATCCGCATCAATAGAATACTCACGAGCATTTGATGACAGCACATTGAGCAACCAGTATTAGTCTGTTAAAAATCGAACTGAATCTAGGCATCTACGCTCCCTACTGAGTTTGAAGGAAAAATCACGCCGATAACACCTCTCAGTACCATTACATGCTATTCTTTGTAATCTTACAAGCAAAACCATGTAAACAATTAGCCTGTACGGAACTAATTTTGGAGAGGATCGGACATGAAACCAGCAGGCAACATTATAAACAGTACTTTAAAAAATTGAGGTAAAGAAAGTCATGATAAGCATTATACACAAATGACCAAGCAATTTTCACTCATCAGTCTACTAGGATTCAGCTTTTAGGACATACACCAGGAAGCCTAGGCCGCATATCACAACTGCCTTACGTTTTCCGAATAATGTCAACAATGCATCCGTTTCAGTTTTGTCGAAACATGAATCATCCACTGATTGCACTTCTGTCTATCGGATAATTCACTCACCAACTAATTGAGAACATGGCATTTGATGCAGCATATCCAAATAGTACATGGTGGCAGAAAAGACCACTACCTGATGTAATCCTATGTTTGATCAGCGGGAGATAATCAGCCTTATGCTATATCATACAAGGTAGCTTCGATTTGATGTGCACAACAACAGAGTAGAAGAACTCATGACCACTGAATAAGACTAGTATTTTGATCTTGCACATCCAATAAAAAGACGCAACGACCACGACAAAGTAAGCAATCGTTTGAAGTTTAGTCCCTACAGACACAATTATCCACTACATACTGCTGCTCTCAAGGGTTGGAACACAGATAATCGACCATCTTTACCACAAAACGGCTATTAAGAAGGGATAAAACTATACAGCTGCAATAGAATGTTCACGCTAAACTTAATACAAGGGCTCTAAAATTAGAATATCTAGTGGGATGTTGAAAGGCTGGATATCGACCGATGTACACAAGATAGTTGGAAAAACGCTATTTGAAACATCAATACCTTCATTGTTTGGCAAAACGAATTTTTCTTCGGTCTCGACATGTCGTAATTTCTGCTTATCAAACCCATCGATATCCTCCAAAACTTTACCAGCGTCACCACTCATGTTCGTAGTTTGAATGAAGTTTGGGTACCAGACTATCAGCTTATTAATGCAGAAAAACAAGGCCTTGATGATTTTAACAACAAAAATTACTTGACCAGTGCAGACCAAAGCGGCAATTCCCTTTGTCAAGAATAAGTTTCTCCTTCAGATCATTATCGTAAAGAACTAATATTGACTTACTTTGATAGTTCTAACTGTCGATGATTGAACAAAAGTCTTCACCTAACTGGCTTTTGTGGACCACAAGTTCCTCTGGTAGCTGGAATTTGTACTCGAGAAATGAAGATAAGAAAGGATTGTAGATTAATAGGGAAGGTAATTTGGTTAGAATGAAACTAGTACTCAGATGGCAATTTGGTGTTGAGTTTGTGGCTATGTAGAAGAGGCCTGACAGCTCTCAGAGGCCTAAAACCTACTAAGTGGTCTAAGTGGTCTTAACTACCCCGTTCAAAGCCCAGCTTCCATTTGTGTTCGATAGGGCGTATTACAAATAAGGTTGGATAAGTAACGAAGTGGACGTTCAAAAATAGTCAGAATATCATATACCATTATCGAAAGCCATCTGTGCTTTCTAAACTCCAAGGATGGAAGACTGAAGGCTTCTTTTTGTTCATTCTATTTTTAGCGTACATACTTCAAAAGATGTAGTGAACTGCCATTAGAATTATTTTAGCCTGGTTTTTTCTTTTAGTGCTGGGGAAGCATATTTAGCACTGTTCTGTAAACGCGGATTCTGCCACATAAAACCCCTAAAACCTTTTGAAAACCTAAACCATTGTTGTGTCCAAACCCTATCCAAAAATCACCAAAAGCCCTTTTTCATAGGGGAATGTGGTTTTAGGGCTATAACGCTCAATTCCTTCTACATAAATGGCACATTTCCAAGACATTGCAACCGTTTGCTTTACACGCATCATATCTTAGGGGCTCCATCTCTTTATTTTTCGTGCCAGAGCGCAGGTCTATTGTTTTTTGAGACGAGGTTATATCATCGTGCAAGTTAATCTTATCCTCTGGACCTCTGATTTCCATTCATAACTTCAAGATATCGGCGTAGCAACAAGATCTTAGCACGCATCCGCTCAGGCGAATAACTTCTGTGGACTATTATCAGACAAGGCACTAATATTGAATCTTGTAGAACTCCGCTTGCACGGTGACACACGGAAAAATACACCCTAAATTTAAATCAACATCCATCTAATCACAGTTCCATTCAGTGAATAGGCAATAAGTTGGTATTGGCCCACTTTAGCCTGTCAGTGAGAAGCAATCGACAGATTTAGAAGGATCTACGTCAAGTGTATCAGTTTCCCCGATGGACAGGGTAACTAAACAACTTGTCTGCTATGGTAAGCTAATCGGTAATGCAAGGGGACCCGTTCTTAATCTGTACTGCTTGAATGCAAACAAGTTGATCAATATAATATTCATTTTAGTGACCAACAGGGGGGTCCAGAAAGCACGGTTAGTCCAATTTAGGACTCGTCAGCCGCATGTACCTACACCACAGTCACTGATGTTGTCCCAACTGATACTCAGACCCAGTGCCCATCGTTTTAAGCGCGGAATCGTTACACACTAAGCCATTTAAGCATCATAAGCACCTTTTGTGAAAACAGGGGTTGAGCAATTCGGCCCTGTGTAGCAGCGGAAACTAACAAAGGCAAATGCTTCCCCCAGTTGCTACTAAGTCAACGGTACCACTACATCTGGAGGTGTGGTGTTTTGCAGACTTTGCTGTCAGCCTTAGCCCCACCGTTCTATTTTTGTGTGTGAACATGTCTTCCTTTTCTTTGCGATACTAAGTTTTACAACGGTACTTATGTCGCCTTCCTTTCTCGGTGGAACTGCCCTCTTTGTTTCGCCTGACTGATGTCATTCTACGACGAATAACAACTTGAAATATTTCCAAATGCCCACAACTCCCCAAAGTCCAGCGGAATTGCTTACACTTATTGATGATACCGCAAAAACACTCAGTAGTGTGTAACAAAGGCGCGAATCTTCAGGGTTCCAAAACCCAAAGCAAAATCAACCAAATCCAAAACATTTGGCCGCAAAATAACGAATATATATTTAAACTGTAGGTGAACTCCGTAAAAATTGTCCTTTAGAGCGAAATATATGCGTATAATTTCCCTTCGAGCCTCCAATTTTAACGGCTACTATAGTTTTTGGTCAAAACAAAATACAATGGTGGCACCAACCGAAACAAGAACTTCAGTGTGGTTGTACAAAGCAACTGAACGAAGTCAAACAACATGAATGGTCCTTGGTTTTGAATACATCACAAGAGTAAGAATCAGATACACCTACAAGTTTGTCTTTTGCAATCGACTCGACTGCAATTTGTCATATGTTCGGAATCTTGTTTGGTTCTCACCAGAGTACTTAGTATTCAGCTCAGCTTTGTGAAAGAAGCCATTGCTGGTGTTTCTGATTTGATCGTTGTTACTTTGTCCAAATCTGGAGTCACCTTTGTCGGGATTATTTTCGGTTCACTTCTAGTGAACAAAAATCGCCTTTAACTTATCCCTTTCGCCACAAAATAGTATTCCTGCAGGAAGCATATAATTTCTGACCTCATAGTGTCAACTTAGCTTTGGTGAAGTACCTTTATGTGATAGATTGTAGGACTATTAAATAGCACCCTGTGTGTAACCGCATCACTCATGTTCTGTCATCTTTTGGACGAATTTTAGCTGTACGCATCGCAGCCAAACCAGGCAACCATACAGAAGGAGGAGCAGTCACCTTTCTACTCTAGTTGGAACCTGCTACAGACGAGGGTGCCTACATTTTGTTCGTTATCTGGCCTCGAGAGAAACCGTCCCGTAATTTTTGGTCATCGCATTGATCTTCCACCAAGATTAGAGTCATGCGATCTACCCTCAAAGGGTAACG